CTCACGCAATTTTGGAAGGACTACAACATCTGTGATGGCGTCAAGAACCTTGCTTGGGCTGAGGGTGATGTCACCAGGGAGTGTGTGAATGGCGTCTGGAAGAAGACACTCAAGAGGTTCGTCCATGACTTCCAAGGATTTGCCAAGGATGAGGAGGTTGCAGAAATCAACAAGGCTGTGGTTGAGATGGAAACAACTGTAACTTGAGTGTGGGTGAGGATGATGTTGAGAGCTCCTAGAGTGGCTCCTGAGGATTTGGCCAATGAGGAGTTGTTGGAACTGGAAGAGGAATGCATAGTTGAAGAAGAGGGAAGAGAAAAGGAAACTGCAGGAGAAGAAAACCCCGCAAGAAACTTTACAGTAAAGGGTTTAGCAGAAGCTTTTGCAGACCTCAACAAGCTTTTTAAAAAGTTTGAAAACATAGACCCCAATACCAAAAGGTTTTCATTAATAGAGAGGGACATTCAAGGTGCTTTATCTGCTCACAAGCAAATCTAAGAGGAAAAAACACAAACCAAGCAAACCACATGGACATGTTTCTGAAAAGAGTGACAGCCCCTCAAGAAGAGCCTCAGGCAGGTCCTTCAGGAGGTGTTCCAGAAGAAGGCATTGTCGTCGTAGGAGATGACGGCTCCGTGCTGTTATTGCCTTTGAAGAACTTCCAGCAGGACAAGATGTAGAGGAGGAAGACAGTGATATTGATGATCCTGATGCTCTGTAGGCCTAGGCTAATGTGTGTGTTTGTGTCTTCTTTTTTTTTTTTTTTTTTTTGCTTAGGAAGATTTGCCCTGGGCTAACATCTGTTGCCAATCTTGTGAGCTGCTGCCACAGCATGGCCGCTAACAGACAAGTGGTGTAGGTCTGCACCCAGGATCCGAACCTGGGTCGCTGAAGCAAAGTGTGCTGAACTTAACCACTAGGCCACTGGGGCTGGCCCATGTGTCTTAGTTTTTATCAGAAAAGCTTAAAAAGTAAAAAAAAAATTTTTTTAAATAGAAAAAAGCTTATAGGGGCCAGCCCCATGGCTGAGTGGTTAAGTTTGTGCCCTCTGCTTTGGCGGCCCAGGGTTTTGCTGGTTCGGATCCTGGGCACGGACACGGCGCTGCTCATCAGGCCATGTTGAGGTGGCGTCCCATATGCCACAACTAGAAGGATCCACAACTAAAATATACAACTATATACTGGGGGGATTTGGGGAGAAGAAACAGAAAAAAAAGAAGATTGGCAACAGTTGTTAGCTTAGGTGCCAATCCTTAAAAAAAAAAAGGAAAAGAAAAAAAGCTTATAGAATAAGGATGTAGAGAAGGAAAATATTTTTGTTTATTACAAGAGAGCCAAAAAGTTAAAAAAATTAAAACGTTTATAAAGTGAAAAATTTACAATAAGCTAAGGTAATTTATTATTGAAGAAAGAAAATTTTTTCAATAAATTTAGTGTAGCCTAGTGGACAGTGTGGATAAAGCCTAAGTAGTGTCCCGTGATGTCCTGGGCCTTCACGTCACTCCCCACTCACTCACTGACACCTACAGCTTCCACTCCTGCAAGCTCCATTCATGCTAAGTGCCCGATACAGGTGTGCCATTTTTTATCTTTTCTGCCATGTTTTTGCTGTACTTTTTCTGTTCAGATATGTTAGACACACAAACGCTTGCCGTTGTGTTACAGCTGCCTGCAGTGTTCAGTCCACAGCATGCTGCACAGGCTGCACCAGGTAGTGACGTGTAGGAGGCCACGCTGCCAGGTTTGTGTAGGTGCACTCTGTGACGTTCGCACACAGCGAAATTGCCTACCGATGCGTTTCTCAGAACGTGTCCCCATCGTTAAGCAATGCATGACTGTATGTGAAAATTAAGTGGGAGTGGGATACAAAATTATAAATGTATATGAGTTACAGTTTATGTTAATAAAGGGTTAGAAAAGGATTTGGGGAGATGTAAATAATTTGACATTCATCAGATTTTTTTTCCCTGATAAGAAGCTTAAGTTCACCATGAAGAAAAAGAAACTACCTCTCCCAAGGCCATCAGTAAAGTATCTAGTTGTCCTTGGATCAGCTCAGCTAAGCAGGAGAATAGCTATTTCCGTAGGTGAGGGCTTTGCTAAGCACGGGCATAGCTGTTAGCATGGGTGAGGGCTTTGTCCCACACGTTTTCATCTTGTCTGAAAGAGAAGTCTCAGTTTCCTGCTCTGGGATACACTGGCGTTTTGTTCCCACTTCAGCATTGACTTTTACTTTTTCCCTATTTACTGTGCTTTATAAATCTAGATCCAAGGACAGTACTTCCCAGTCCCAAACTTCTTGAGTGACACCCTCCTTCTTTGTGACGCTGATCCAAGCCCCTGGGGGTCATATGAGAATGTTGCAGGTTCTCTGGTTCTTTGGTGTATCAGGAGTGGCGCAGGCTGTGCGGACACTTCAGATCCTGGGAGCCCCAGAGGTGTGGGCTGGAACCCAAACGGTGGTTGCCGTTGGAAGCCTGTGCTCTGCCTGGGCCAGCAGCTTCTGGAGTGTCTGGTGACTGGAATCCCTCTCCCGCTATTGTCGCCCATCGGGACAATGAGGACTTCTTCAGTTTCTCCTCTCGTGCTCCCTCACACACAGTCCGTAAAGCAATGGCTGGTTTGTCAGGAATTTCGAGATGAGAACAGAGATTTCCTGTCACTCAGGGCCTCGGGTGTGTGTGCTGCAGGGGCCGGGACTGTGTCTCGCTTGACCTCGTGCCCGTGGCTCAGTTTTAGCTTGGTTGGTGGGGGCATTATTTGGAGGCTCATGGTGATTGAAGCGGGTTCAGATGTTATCAGATCTTTTAAACGTATATAAAAGTTACTTTCCATGCTGATGTGAGGTAAAAATCTCTAGCAGGCATGGATTGATAATTGGTGCTGCCCTCGGATCTGTTTCTGCTGAGATTTCACTTCATCTTCACTGAACTTTCTAGAAGTTACTCCACTACACTGACTTTGTACAATGACTCAACAAACATGTGAATGCTTACTCAAGGGACTTAATTTCTCTCTGCCTACCTATCCAGGTCTAGAAGTAGATACATCTCTTTCTTTTTTCGTTTACTTCAGGCAAGACTGGTATTTTTACAAGGAGCTTGCCTAGAGACCCTGAGTCTAATTGCATATTAGCGTGACTGACCTGGATCAAAGCTCTTGGGTCTGTTTTTCTATTTCATTCCCTGACTTAGGGTTAGACTAATAGATTCCGACTGTGCCCTGTAGTCATTGTGAGTGGGCCCCGGTGCCGCCCTGGTTGGGAGATCCTTACTTCCCTTAGTGTGTCTACGCCTGCTGTCGTCACTGTGGTCCCGGTGGCCTGGTTCCTAAATAGAAGGGCATTCTTGGTCTGCTCACAGCTGTCACCTCTTGCCTGGAAGATGGTAATAGTTTTCTGTGGTCTCCTAAATCCACCTAACGCCCTGCATCTATTTTCCTTTCAGTAGTCACAGTTGTCTTTTAGAAACGCAAACCTGATCACTTCACCCTTTACCTTATAAGCTCTTGGTGACTTCCATTTGCCTTTGGGTGCACACCAAAACCTCCCCGGGTCTGGGCCCCCGTCTCCCCAGCCTCCCTTCCGTTGCTCCCGGCTTTCTGTGCTCAGGCCACCTTTCTGTGCTGTATTTCTTCCCTCTGCCTTCTCCTCTTGCCACATATTGTCCTTTCTGCCGCGAGGTTCTGCGCTCTCTCCTTTTCCCTTTCCTCTTCTTTGAGAGGCCAATCCTCACCCTTCAGCTAGACTCATTTCCCCTACTATCCTAGCTCCTAAGATTGCACACCTCCCCTTCTCAGCACTTATTTCTGTGAAAAGTTTACGTGTATCTCTGCGATTCTTTCCTTAAGGCCTGTCTTCTCCACAGCCAATAAGCTCCACGATGGTGGGCTCTGTCTTTTTTGCTGGAAGAGGGGCTTACCATTTCTGGCAGGCAACACATACTCTAGATGCTTATTGAACACTTATTGGATGAACATGATTTCTTCTTGCTTCTCCCTTCTGGAATTTTATGGCTCTGCCTCATGTGAGCCGTAACCTAATCTGTGACTTCCTCACTAGCCACCCTACCTCTGTCTAAAGGTTCTGCTTTTATCTGAGCTTTTTCAGCTTTCTAGGAAGGCATCTGGGCTTAGTCTTCTAGTGGCCATATATGCATCCTTCTTTTTCTTCCTCTGAAGATCCAGGCCCTACTCTAAGGCCATCCTTTTCTCTGACAGGAATCCCTGCAGCTCTGACCGTCTCTCCAGGTTCTCCTTGGTGACCCGTTCATGAGCCCCTCCTCACTACAACCCCAAGCTAAGAGCACGTGACACCCACAGTGTCAGCAACAGCAGCCATAAAAGAGAGACTTTTCAGTGACGATGACGGTAATTAAGCATCCTGCATGAGGCTCTTTAGTGCCTCTTAAACAAGAAGTAAATCCACTCGTCCCATTGCTACAGTTTACCAGCCGTTCTGCTATAATGGAAGAATTGCGTTCATGAGAAATTTTACATTATCAAAAGTTGTGATATAAAAACGATTGCCTAGAAAAAAGGTGTTACGGATTGGACAGTATCAGACTCAGAATAGTTATTTTTCCTATAGCATTTTTTTCTAATAATACTCCTTTTTAAACAACAATGAGTGTGTTAGTGTCGCTGCAGACAACTTGGAGTTTGGCTACAGGCAGCGTTTGCTCCGGGATGGTAGTCTTTGTTTTCCATCATTGCCTGCACATCTTAGCAAAGAAGCTTTACACTGTCCTGTTTCCTTGATCACCCAGTGTCATAATACATCAATCACTGAGCTTCCCAAACAGAACAGCTGGTATAGACACAGCTTCTCTTATGCCAAGGGGCTAGTTCTGGATCTGGTATAATAATGGCATATAGAAAGCTAATAAAATTCCCTAATTTATCCAGTTTGCTTAAATAAGAACTCAGGCCTTTGCTCTTCTCTGATCTGGATAGCTACATCACACAGTAATACCTGCGTTTTGCTGTTTTCCCGGAATCAGGTGATGCAGGCCCAGTGTGTCAAAACACAGACGGAGTTCTACCGTCGCAGCCGCAGCCAGGTGGTGCATGGAGAGGGCCACACCATGGGGGCGCTGTACTGGCAGCTGAATGACATCTGGCAGGCTCCCTCCTGGGCTTCCCTAGGTGAGTGTTGCAGCGTTCTCTGAGAGAAAGCACTTCCTGCGAGGAGAAGCCCTGAGACAGCACGGAGCCCCAGGGCCCAGAGGAGCCGAAGCAGAACTCCAGCTGTGAGCCGCAGCCACCCCACCCGCCTTCTCAGTCCTTCCAGGAGCCTTGGAGGCAGCCTCCTTATGAATTCTGTGCTGTGCAATGTCACAGCAGCAGGCTAATGAAGGGTAGATTCATGCATGACGATCTCAGCCGCATGTCTTACTATTATTGCTCAGAATTTTGAATTTATTTAAGAGGAATTTCTGGGGCAAAAGGAGCATTTACTTATGCATCTCTTCTTCTGTTTAGGAGAATTCAGCCAAATGGAAGGTTGGCCCAGCTAAGCATTAAAATGTCCGTTTCTCTGGCTCCCCTTCAAGTCCTTGAGGTCATCTTGGATGGGGGAGAGAGGGCAGAGTTAGTTGAGTGAGAAATCCAGGTAGCAAGGCTTACCAGTTGAACCAGTTTGGCTAGCCACAGGTGAGATGACCGGCATGGTACTTGCAGTTTGAATTAGTCTGTTTTGGTACATTAAAAACCATTAAGGAGTAAGAAGGAATCTCTGGCCTTCACTAGAGGTGATTTGAAGCAAATTTCAGATAATAATATAAGCAAAAGTTTTGGGTCAAAAGTGACGTAAGGCCATAAAGTAAAAACGCCGTTTTCCTGAGTGAGGCTCTTAACACCGGCTGTGAATGCGAGTCCCGAGGAGTTCTCCCCGTGCACTGTGCTTAGAGCTGGAGTTTTGGTCAAGTTTCTCTGAGAAAACTCTTTATTGACCCCATCCGGATAAGAGGGTATTGATGAGGATCAGGGTAGACTGTGGGAGTAGCTTTTCTGGGATGCTGAAAACTGGGCAGAGGCGCTTGGACCCTGACCCCGCGTCTGTCTGCGGACGAGGTGTGGATTTCTGAGTTTGGTTCAAGAAGTGGGAGAGCCCAGTTTCTGTAATTCTCCCCTTGAAGGACCATATACAGACCATTTGAACGAGTTCTTCAGAAGGAGTGGGTGAACCCCAGCGCAAGAGTGTGATAGCACAGCAAGAATTTGCTGTTTTCTAAACTGAAGCAGGACAGTGCCTCCATGGAGAGGTCACTGTCTCCTTGGACCTGTTAGACACAACGGTGCCAGGGAGAAGCTGTGACAAGTTATGCTGCATCTGCTCCTTCTCTGGGCAGCCTCATGGCCCCTGTTGAATTCTGCTTCATCAGCTCAATTGCTCTGGTGCTTACAGCCTGTTCAGGTGAGGATGGGGAGATATGTGTCCCCTCTTCTCAGCCGAAATGGTGATACCTTAAAGGGATCAGTAGCTACTTGGAATCTATAGATTCTTATATATTTCTTTTTTAAAAAGTTAGTCTTATTTATAGTTATAATTTTGCAAGTACAAAAATCCACCTGGGAGTTTTGCTTGGCTCATAAACTTGGACCCTTACAGAGCTAATGGCAAAGCCAGAAGTCACAGAGCATTCTTAGCCGGTTATGTGGAAGATTATGTTGGCATCCAGACCGTGTCACTGATTAGTAGCTAGGGTATGTGTCATTGAGGCCTTTTGCCTCAATTCCCGTTCTCCTGAGTTCACTTCCTGTTTATGGCCTTGATCGCTGGATCCACACATTTGAAGCCTTTCCGTGGTAATGGATATGACATGACATGTGAGAGTATGTAGGGGACTTACCTCAGGTCTGAGCCATCTTCCCTTTATGAGAAAACTTTCCAAATGGAAGTTCTACTTCATTTTATAGATCTAAGAAGAAAGGCCTCTCCCCACCCTTCTCTGCATCATTGTTTTTAGGGGGAAATACTAGGAGTTGGGATTGAAGTGCTGAGAGTTGAAATTTTGCAAGACCTACAGAAATCATTTCTATCTGAACTTCAAAAGCCCGCTCCTCCCTCTCACGGCTACCCTGCGAGTTCTGAAGCTGGCGTGCGCTCTCGCTTGGAACTTGTTCAGTGACGCAGTGCTTTTTGGGCAAGGATCTGCTTTCAAAAATAGAGGCATGTTGAAATTTTTTTTAATTTATGGGTTTAGCATACTAGACATGCCAGCAGGGTACAGAATTCTCCAGGACACTGCTAATTGTGTTGAGGAACTGTCGTGAATTGTCATCAGTTTGGCTGTTCTCCAGTCTGCCTTTGCCAGCCGTGTTTGTGATGGTGGTGGTTTTGTTTTGCTCAGAGGATTTTGTGCCTATGGGACAGGAGACTTATAAGAGTTATTTCTAAATAACTCTTATAGATGAATATTTGTAACAGGTGTGCGCTGCCAGTGCTCCTGCTTTCTTTTTCTATGTGTATGTAGTCAACAGGAGGAACCTTGGTGCCTTGAGCTCCCAGAGCGGAGCTGCGTGTGCGGGTGTGCTGGTTGGAAGGCAGTCTGAGTTCCACCTACTGCCTGCGGCCTGTGCCACTGAACTCCAGCGCCGCTGTTCCCTCCTTTGTAGAGTGGGGTGTGAATACTTGCTTCACCCAGGTGTTGTGAGGATGACATGAGATACTGTCCGGGATGCTCCTGGCCCTCAGCAAATGTGGGTTCCCACCACTGTTGGCTCCCCTCCTACACTCAGCCCCTACGATCGTGCAGAGTCACACACGGCTGGCCCGTGTGGATGCGACTCTGACTGCTTGACCCTGCCCATCTCCTCACTTTCCTGGCTATTTTTAGAGTATGGAGGAAAGTGGAAGATGCTTCATTACTTTGCTCGGCATTTCTTCGCTCCGCTGTTGCCCGTGGGCTTCGAGAATCAAGACGTGTTTTTCATCTATGGCGTGTCAGACCTTCGCTCAGAGTGCAACGTGACACTCACTGTAAGCTTCTTGGAGTTTTTTCTGTCTAAGACAGAGGAAGAATTTTAGATTATTTCTTTAGTTATTTGGTTCTATTTCTTTTGGGAAAAAGAAAAGAGAAATTAATTTGTATCAAAATGTTTCTAGTATCTGTATCAGAAAATGGGCTCTCCTTGGAGTCAGAATACCTACATTCACGGTAAAACTCTGCCGTTTATTCCGTGACCTGACACCTTAAAGTCTCGGTGATTCAGTGTCGTCATCTGTAGAATGTTATCTTCTATCATCAGCCTGTCTTCTTAAAAGATTTCAATGAGCAGTGAATAAAATAATTAGATGAAAGCGAGTAATTAGCTGTAAGGTGCCACTTAAATGTAAAGTTATTTATGATCATGAGAACTTGGAGATAGCCTAACTTTATAAAAAGAAATTGTTAAAAGTGGTAAGTTAAAGTGGAAATCAGTACAATTATTCCGAGTGGGCGTGTGGAAAATAGCCTTGTATTTAAAACAAAGCCAGGTAGAGAGAGGGGGGAAACTGCAGTCTGGGGGCTGCTCTTTGGAGGACACTGAAAATAGCTCATTTGACGGAATAATGCCAGCGCGCCAGGTCCCGTGCCGTCCACGGATTCTGTTATTTCTTCCTTGCAACAGCTTGGACGTTAGCGCTGTGGTTAGTCTCCTTTTACATGTGAAGAGACGGGGCCTGGGACGTGGAGTGACTTGATCACTAGTGCTTGGTGGGGCTGGGTTCAGCCAGCTTCCTCCATCTCCAGACCAGGTCTGCGATTCTGGCCTCCGTCTATTATTACTACCGCTCCTCTCGAAATACACAGTCACCAAGCATGTTTGGTTCCGCCCCGTCCCCCAGGTGAGACTGCACGCGTGGAGTTCCCTGGAGCCTCTGTGCTCACGCCGCACTAGGCGTCTTGTGATGAAGGCGGGCAAGGCCACTCTCCTGTACAAGGAGCCGGTGCCCAGGCTGCTGAAGACATGTGGGACGTGCACCCGGCAGCGCTGTGTGGTTTCCTTTCACCTGTCAGCTGCCGGCCAACTCCTGAGCCCCACCAACTACCACTTCCTGTCCTCGCTGAAGGAGGCTGTGGGACTCCACAAGGCACACATCACTGTAAGCACCAGCGGTCTGGGGCCTGTGGCCTGCGGGGCTGTCCTCCTTCTGGGGAAGCACATTGCATCCTGCTTTTTGCACAGTTTCCGCTTGGTAGCGAGTTTACCCAGGACCTGGGGAAGATTAGCCCCTTGCCACTGAAAGCAAAGACCATGATTTTTCTTTCTTTCTTTTTTTTTTGCTGACGAAGATTCGCCCTGAGCTAACATCTGTGCCAGTCTTTCTTTATTTTGTATGTGGGTCGCTGCCACAGCATGGCTGATCAGTAGTGTCAGTCCACACCCAGGAGCCAAAACTGGGCTGCCAAAGTGGAGTGCACCGAACTTAACTGATAGGCCACAGGGCTGGCCACTGGTCTTTATTTCTAATTTAGTATATATCAAAGTTTTCAGTTCCTGCCACTCTGCTGTCCTGCCTGCCCTCCGTCGTGGGGCTGGTGCAGTGGAAGGAGAGACTGCGGGGTCATCACCACGAGGGCTCCGCTGTGGTGCCAGGCTCCATCCTGGGGGCTTCACTGCAACAATCTGGTGTGTTGTCCTCCTCGCTGACAAGTGAGGAAACCATTGGGAGAAGTTGCGCAAGGTCCTGCAGCCAGGGAGCATCAGAGCCAGGGAGGTGCTCTGATTTTGAGTTTTTAAGTAGAGGCTATTAATTTTCATAATTTTTCCTCTACTCTCTTTGCTTTATGGCTTCAAAGTAGCTTAATGACCAACTCTCTTTATAATTGCCAAGAAAAAAATGGGATGACCAGGATGTGTCGCTGTAAAAATTGTGCTGCCGGAGACGTTGGAATCTGTCCAGTCTGTGGGAACCCTCTCCTTTTCCTCCTACGCACAGTGATTGAAAATATTTTTCTTGAGAGTTTTATTATCTATTTTTAGTGAATTTTAAATTCGTTTTACACTTTACTTCATGGAGAGGGCTTAAGGGAGAGAATTTTTTACATTTGCTTTAGACGTAATCTTATAAAAAGTCTTAATCCTTGAAAACATATCTTTTCCAATTAATAATGGAATATTCACACAATGAAAGCTAAGTTATCTGTTAACAACTGATAGAGAGCAGATATGAAGGAAATGACGAGCATTTACACAGCTTCTTTCCAGAGAAAATAACACTACAGAGCAGACACATTTGTGGTCTTCAGGCAGGATTTCGAGCACAGTTCTTCTCTTTCCTTCTCAGGCCTTCATGCCTCGGGACGACCGCGGGGGGAGTGAAGGGGGCTGCTTTCCTTGTCCCACCCTCTGTGGATTTCAGTGAGACGTGCCCTTCCTAAAGGGATATGATGATCACAATAACGATAGTTAACATCACTGCTGGCTTAACGTGGGCCTGGCGTATAGGTTGCTCTCCCGAGGGGGATGCTGGGAACGTGTTTCCTCAGTTTCCCTGAAGACAGGGTGCAGGCTCGAGCCCAGTCTGCCCTCGGATATGCGGCGAGAGGGCGTCCAGTCGGAAGAAGCCAGCAGGAGCGAGCCGTGCCGCTGTCCCTCTGGCCTGACCTTGGAGCAGCAGTGGCCTGGCCTCCCCCGCAGCCTTGAAGGCCAGCTGGGCGACGGCTGTAGGGACGTCACTGGCACAGCTGGGTGGCATGGTTGGGGAACGTGACATCCACCTTCAAGCCTGAATCTCTCACCCTCTGAGAGCTACCTAATGCAGTTTCTTATGTTTCTTTTCTGCTTCTACTGCAGTAGGTTTTCTTGTTTATAACTCAGAACCCTGCATGCCATCTAAGGCTAAAATTATATACAGTAAAAATTGCCCTTTGAAATTCTTTATGTCACACATAACGTTGCACCTTCAGCATGGCGTGTGTGCATGTGGAGGGATCATGTTTCATGACAGATGCACCGCTTTAAATGCCAGGTCCCGCTCCATGCACCCTCACCCTGAGACGGACTCACGGCCCGCCCGCTGCATCCCAGCCTCGCTGCGGGGTGTGCTCCTCGGCTGGTCAGTGAGGAGACTGTAAACTGCGCTGTCCTTTGCTGACGTCGTGTGGGATTCGCACACGGTGAGAGTGCAGCCCACGTGACTTTACAGTACTGGGCGGCACAGCGGAGCTGTAGTGGGCGAGCTTTTGTAAGCGCCTGGCAGGCTGCTGTCGGGGTCAGCATCTTTCCAGCAGCCTGGAAGGTGAGCTCCGTGGGGGTGCTCTGCAGCCAGCTCCAGGTGTGTCCTTATGCGAACATGTCCCCCTCTGAAGGATTTCCTGAGAAAAACTGTAAAAGATGTAAAGCTTTGAGCTTTTTGTGAAATGATCTCCTTAAATAATTGGAGACTACATATTTCTACACTTGGTTTGAGATTACAGTTTGGTAATTTTCCACAGCCTTAAATAAATTTTCACGTATTTTTTAGTATCTGACACAGGGCCCGGAGTCTCTGATGTCAGCTGTTGTAGACCCAGAGTTGGAGGAAATGCGTTCCTTGTCAGGCGCCCGGAAGTGTGCTGGCGGCGCTATGGAGAGAATGGAGAGCTGTGCTCGCATCCTTCACTTCATTGATCTTTTTCTTTCAGGCCGTCATCTCCCAGCGTGGTGACACATTTGTGTTTGATCTAGAAACCTCCGCTGTCGCTCCCTTTGTTTGGCTGGATGTGGGAAACATTCCCGGGAGATTCAGTGACAATGGCTTCCTCATGACTGGGAAGACGCGGACTGTGTTATTTTACCCTTGGAAACCCACCAGCAAGAGTGAACTGGAGCGATCTTTTCAAGTGACTTCCCTGACCGATATTTACTGAGGGAATCCAGCATGTTTTTTCAGGGGACTCCAGAATAAAGCATTTCCAAGGAACCGCCTGGGGCCAATGGCCCCAGGGACAAGTTGAAGCAGCCGTGTGGACGGCCTCTCCCGGGAGCGCCTCCAGCGCAGGGTCTCGCCTGCCCACCCCAGGAGGGGAGTCCGCGCGGCTGCAACCGCGGCGGCATCGGGCCCAGGGGAGGGCTGTGAGGGCCCCAGCCTTCCTAGTTAGCTTTGAGAAATACCAAATGATCAAAGTGAAACTGCTCTGTTATTATTTCTGGAGGAAATAGAGGTTTAAATGTCACAGGAGAAGGATTTCTGAGCAGTGGCCATGTTGGTAGTTGTTGCTGGAAAGTGTGGGGGTTTGATGGTTGACATTTGATTACTTTTGGGGTAGGATTCTTTTTTCATTTATGGATTTTGTTATAAAATATTGTTTTAACAATCAGAAATTCTCTTTTCAAAGGCCATTAGAGTGATTCTCCTTAGAAAAACGAGCTCACATTGAGATGGATGCCACTCTGCGTACTTGGAAGAGCTGGATGTCCTGACAGGTTGTCGCCTGTGGTGATGTACGGGCTTCAGTTGGGGTAAATCCAGCGAGCTCCCAAGTCAGAGGCGGGGAGTTACACCGAGATGTGTTGATCCTGGCAGCAGAGTGGTTTCGCTTTAGCTTGGGTTCAAATAATTTCATTTCTATTGGTTAATTATAAATTGCTATAAAATTGTTTTATTGTGCATTATCATGTCTGTAAAATTACATTTATAATGAAGCAAATGGGGCAAAATGTTAACAAGTAGCCAATGTGGGTAAAGGTGTGTAGGAATTTTTTTGTACTGTTTTTACTACTTTGCTGTAAGTTTGAAATTAGATCAAAATTTTAAAGTTACATAAATTGCATTGACAACTTGATATTTCCTCTGTGCTTATTGATAATTCCGGAAACACTCAGTTATGCCCAGCACTGTGCTGGCCGTCAGTTTCCCTTTGGCTCTGGCCAAGTTTTTATTCTACTTGGTAAACTGGGAGAGTTTGAAGAATCTGGCCTAAAATATTTGCGGGGTTTTCTCTAGGAAGAATTACGTAAGTGGTTACGGAATGGACCAGCACTGAGAATTTGCTTTTTAAAATCAAACCTAATTAGATAATCGTTTTGGTTTTAAACTGAGAAGTTTTAGGTCACGGTCCATTGACTGAAAAGAAAATTAATGTAGACAGTCCAGGCCTGTCCTTTAGTGTCTAAGAGTTTCCTCATTTATGTGTTGAGTTATCTCAATGTCTATGTAAAAGCCTTGTGAGGGACTGCAACTCAGGCTTGTACCTCAGAAGATTCTTGACAAGCAATGTGTGTTTTCTCGTCACTGTTGAAAGTCCTCTCTTACTGAGATGGTGCCGGGGCACAGGGAGCACACACACCCCAGTAACTAGAGTGTTTCCTGCCAGGCACCCTGTGAAGTGGCCTTAGAAGTTGATTTGGCCGGAATTTGCATCCCTATTGTGCCCTTACCAGCTCTGTCACCTTAATCAAGTTATTTAACTTCTGTCTTCAGTTTTCTTGTGGTAAAATGGAAATAATGACACTGAACTTGTGAGTTGGTCTTGAAGAACAAATTAAAAATTTAGCTGAAAGGCTCGGTGCAATGCAGGCACTGAGTAGGGGCGCTGTAAATGGAACACCATCCTGGGGGTGACCATCTTGTCCAAGAGACGGCAGGGCTTCCAGCCACACTTACAGGAGCAGAATCCAGGTTCTGAGGCTTACTGGCTATGTGACCTTGGACAACCACTTGACTTTCTGGACTTCAGTTTTCTCATCTAAAATGGAGATGATGATCTCTAACCTTCAAAGGTAGTTGTGAGGACTAAACAAATAGGGTCTGGGACGGAAGAAATGATGAGCAAATGGTGGTTATGCTGTTTTGACATCATAATCATTATCACCCATTTAGCACATGGAGCAATAGTGAAATGAAGCAAATAGAGGCAAAATTTTTTTTTAAGAGGGGGAAAAAGATATCAGAAAAGAATGAATTTGTAAAGGAAGAAGAAAGTACAGAATAGACAAAAATATATACTGACAACAGTTTATCAAAGGAGAGAAATGTGCTGTATTCGCATGATTTCTGTAAGAGAACAGTCATGTCCAGAGTGCTCTCCCGCGGTAGGTGTGGCCCCGCGGACAGTCGCTTCTGCCATCCCAGTGGGTCGGTTTTGCTGCGTTTGCTGGAGTAGAGTCTGATGCACATACTCTGGTGCTGGGTTTCTGAGAATGCTTTCTATCAGTAGCTACGTAAGCATTAGTAGAAAGAGTAGGAAGCCCAGGATCAGCGAATTTGCCAGTTTGGCTCCAACACGTATACTCAACTTGGACAAGTCACTTAACTCTAAGCCTCAGTTTCCTTATCTTTAAGATGGGTTAATAGTAATTGCTATCTCGTAGGGTTGTGAGGAGTAAATAAGGTAAGGACGTGCATGCCTAGGATGGGAAAAAGTGCAGTAAATGCTGGCTTATGATGACCACTCCTCGAAGGGTAAGGCTGGCCGCAGTGCCAGGCTCGGGCCTAGGGCTCTCACGTAGTCCTTGCCAAAGAAAAAGGACAATTTAGGTCTTCTCTACTAAGGGAAAATAATCATCGGGCTTCTGTGACCTGAGTTGAAGAAGAAACATCCAGGCAGAAAGCCAAAGAAGTTTCTAATTCCCCTTTTCTGTAAACCTCTTTCCCCTTTTATTGAAGCAGAAAAGTTGAGTAGCAAGAGGCACACAGCTGTTGGGTGATTGTGCAAAACTCTACTTCTAGCAGAGGCCCCAGGGCACAGGAAATGGGGCTGTAGGGATGGGCTTGCTCGGGGGCACTGATTTCCAGGAGGCTGCCCGGAGTAAGGCCAGGCTGGAGAAGCGGCTAAGGAAGAGCCTGCAGGGCGTCCAGCCCTACCCCCTCTCCCGGCTTCAGAGAACTAACTGGGTGCCAGCTGGAATGCCCTGGAATGCATGGGGCTTTAAAGAACGAAAGCAAGTGGGAGGGAGGGATGGAGGCAGAAAGAGGGGAGAGAGGGAGGGAGAGAGAAAGTGAAAGAGGGAGAGGGAGAGAGAAAGAGAAAGGGAGGAAGAAACAGAAAGAGAGAGAAAGAGAAAGCGGGGGAGAGAGAGAGAGAGGGCGGGTGGGCGGGAGGGAGGGAGGAGCTGCGGTGGCCCTCAGGCTCTAGGGCTCCAGCACCAGCTGGCTGAGGATAGGGGTTAGACCCGCAGAGCAACTTTTTCTCTCTCTGCCCTTCTGTTTACTTGATTTTCCTCCATCATCGCTACCTTGGAAAAAGGGGAAGATCTGAATGATTTTTAATGCCAATTTAATTGCTATGGATCTGTGAAAAGTTGGCGCAAAGCCTGCGGAACAGATGACTGATGGGGAGTGACAAATAAAAATGGCAAGTAATAGGATATATTAGAGTATACGAGGAAGCCATTTTGTGTAAACCTAATTCGGCCTGACCTTGTCTTTCCAAAAGGGCATGACCGTGGCCGTTGAGCATGCATTGTATATCTGCTTTAGAGATTCCCCATGGCAAGAACAAAGGCCCTTGAGATATGGTACAACTTCTCTTCCCCTCCCAACATTGGCATTTCTTTAAGGATTAAGCATCTTTCCTTGGGCTAGGAACTGATTGCTTGCAGCGCCCACCTGTGACCACCCAGCTCAAGACAATAGACTTGCCTCCTGCTACGCCCACCAAGATAGCAGACCCACTACCTGCTGTGTCCATCAAGTGCTGTGCCGACAGGGCAATGTTGTGACTATTGTGGGAGGGACATTTCAGTCATATGTGAAACACCCTCTTTGAGGGTATATAACCACCCTGTGTACCCCCACTTCTTTGGAGTGCTCCGTTCCTTTGTGGAAAGACTCTCCCGGGTTATAATCCTCAGATTTCAGCTCAGAATAAACTCACCCAAATTTTCATTTATAGATTGGTTATTTTTGTTGACAGGAGAAAGCCGCTGTAGCAGAGAGCAGTAAGGAAGGGACTGAAGTGTGAGCTTGGGCATAATTTGGAGAGAGGAACGATGTTCCGGTGACAAAGAGTGTGATGGAGGCATCTTCCCAGGCCCAGCAGGCCTCTTCTGCCTATGGGGGTGGCCATGTGCGTCTGTGGTGACTCCCTGCCCACAGATTCTTTCTTGAAGCTTTAAACCTGGGGTCTCCTTGCCTTTCAGAACCAAATGGCCCCTGGCCCATGTGCTGTGTATGTTGATCATCATTCAAGGCGTGCGTTTGTGAGGTAGGAAGGAAGTCAGGGCAGAAGGGTGGCTTTGACCTTCCGATATCAGAACTGGGCAGGAGGAGCTGGCAACCACTGCTTGGGCATCAGGCTGAATCGCCCGCTCGCCCAGGGGTGCATAAACACGTCCTGAGCAAGTGGGTCCCGTCTGTGGGGAGGCAAAGCGAGCCCTGGGCAGCAGTCCCCGGCAGTGATGGGGAGGGGTAGGGTGGGACCTGTGGAGGAGACAGGGACGATCCTTCGCGCAGCCCTGCTCCGTGGCGGCGGAGCTGTGGAGGCTTCACGGGGACACGTGCCCTGTGGCCTCTGGCCAGCGTTGCTTCCGCTGGGAGGCAGGACTCTGCGTTAGCAGGGTGGCCCTCGGGAGCATTTGGAGGCCCTGGCTTGAATTGCTGGGGGAAGGGAGGGCACAAGGAAATGGCAGAACCGAGTGTTGAGAAGCTGCTGAGGGCCCTAAAGCAAAAGGAGAGTGGGGCCGGAGGAATCGGCAGGAAGAGGAGAAAGCGGGACTCCCGGGCTCCCTCCGGGGCTCTGCGGGGACCTGTGCCCCCGCTGTGCGCTGCCAGTCCATTTGTGGGTGGGACGCCGGTTTGCCGCTTTGTCGCCTCCAGGGCCTGCTCATTGAGCTCGCCCTCCCTCGGGGCACGTCCGTGCGACCGTCCCCTCGCGCAGCCAGGAGCGCCCTCGGTGGTGGCTGCCCAGCCAGCCGAGCGCGCCAGCGCTCACTCTGGCTAAGCCAGGGGTCCTGGTAAATCAGCATCTCTGCCATTCTGTGGAAAACGGCAGGAATTAATACCCCTCCCTGTTTACCTCTCGGGTTATTATGAGAATAAATATTTGAAAATATTCTGTAAATGAAAGCATTCGTGTTTAAAGGGTTAGTTTTGTTTTCGTTTTTTTTTTAACTTTTTTTTCCAAAGTTACAAAAGAAAATTTATTTCAAAAGCAAAAAGGAACATTTACATTTGAACAAAGTGATAAACAGGTTTCCTGCTAAAGAAGAAAAATCCATGGTATGAAGTTTCTCGTTTAAGTTTTTGAAGCAAAAATAACAAATTGTACACTCCTCCCTTAGGAAAGGGAAGACCTGCAAAACAGTTTTGAAATGAAAAAAAAAATCTCTCTTTTGGCCAGAGAACAGACCTAGCAACCCGGCTGTCTAGTCCCCAGCATCACCCATCACCTCCCCGAGCTGATGCATGCCCACGGCAGCCTCCAGGTCTGCTCTCACTGTCTTCAGCTCTGACTCTGCTTCCTGGGTCCCAACAAGGAATCCTGGGAGAAGAGGTTCCTAGAGAATTCTGTTTCCTCTGCTATTCTTCTCTCCTGGAGAGAATTATTTCCCCAAGAACCAACTGCGGCCCCTTTCTCATTCGTCTGAGAAACGGGAATCGAGGTTCTCTGCATCAACAAGCCCGAGGTCTCTTGTGCTGCACTTAAGGGACTACAGACCATGGTGGCTGGAGAGCAGGAGTCCTCGTGGAGTCAGCGCCAGGGCAACAAGCCTGCTGCTGGAACTCTCTGCCTCCTCCCTGAGCCAACACCCTCGGTCATCTCCGAGGACTTCTTTAGGAGAAACTGGGACTTTGTCCTTACAATGCACCTGTCCTTCTTAATCCCGGGAAGTGATTTCACCC